TTAGAGATGCAGATAGGGACAAGAGGTCGTTACATAGAACTCACTGAAGCCATAAGTAAGTAAGTGAGATCATCGAGTTTGGATGGAAACCACCACTGAATACTCTACGTAGCCAGAGAAAGCTCCAAATCCCCGGACCGGGGCTGGGGATTTAGCTCAGCGGCAAAGCGCCTGCCTGGCAAGTGCAAGGTCGTGAGTTCAGTTCCCGGAACCAGAGAAAAACCAAAACAAACAAACAAACGAACAAATCCCCGGTCCCTCGCGGGGGGAAGGTGCAGTGATGGCGGGGGTCTGAAAGCCAGCATTTGCGCATGTGTGCTTCTCGAAGGACACCGAACAGCACAGCTGCAAGGTCCGTGGGTGGACCCCGGTGTTTGCAGGGCCCCTCACAGCCTGGGATGCAGCCACATGCCTGCCGCGCTCCAGGCCTGGGCTCTGCGCTTACAACCACCAGCAGAGGCCCTCGCGCTGGGCGGCTGCGACAGCGACCGGCCGAGGTCTTGGCGAAAAGCCTGGAGGGCGCAGGCGGCGGGCGCAGATCAGGACGGTAGATCGGGACCGCCGCGGGGCCGCGGCCTGGCGCCTGGCTGCTGTTTGCGGCTTTTCTCGGAGGCTGGCCCCGCCCTCCTCAGAGGACCAGGGCTCCCGTACACCTGGGCTGGGTGCCAACCACTGGCCGGGCTTGGAAAAGTGAGGACGGCCACGGAGCCATCAGGGTGGTGAGTCAGCAGGCCTCGGCCCCGTGCCCAGGCTGGGGCCCCGTGAGAGCCACCCGCTGGGCCACAGCGGGCCGTGGCAGCCTCGTGCTCCCCAGGTGCTGGAGCAGAGAACCTTCCAGACGCCGGTCTCCTCTGGCCCCTCCGTTCCTGCCGCCCATGTGTGCCCTGCTGTGAGATGGCGGCATGGCTGGTACGGCTGGGTTAAAACTTCCTAACCTCCTGAGCGGTCCTGGGTTGTGACTTTGAACTAGCTGAAGGCCTTGGCGGTGGTTGGACCCAGGCCACCCTGCCCCCTTGACACCACCAGCACCATCCCACACCGTGGGCTTACAGGCATGTGCCACCACTCCCGGCTCCAGACAGAGCTGACTGACGTGATGCCCCCTGTGGATGATGGATGTGAAGGTGTTTGTGAAAAATCGGGCACAGTGCAGTAGGCCTAGATTCCCAGCACTCCAGAGGCTGGGGCAAGGAGGATCACCATGAGTTTGAGGCCAGCCTGAGCTACACAGTGAGACTCTGTCTCAGAAATAATAACAGTAACAACAACAGTAATATTTTCTAGCTGGACATGATGTAACTTGGAAGGCTGAGGCAGGAAGATTGCAAATTTAAGTCCCACCTAGGCAACTTGGCAAGACCCTGTCTCAAAAAATAAAAAGGGCTGGGGATGTAGATCAGTGGTATCATGCCCTCGGGTTCAATCTCCTGTACTAAGAGATGAAAGATAGATACATACATACATATGTACATACATAGATACCTAGATAGATCATACATAGATACATAGATAGTATTTTAAAATTAATTTTTAATTAAATAAAAGAGCCCAAGGGAACCCTGAAGCTGGGGGCCCAGCAGTCTCCCAGCGCTGCTGTCCCAGTGTCCAGTGAACAATCTCAGTAGTAAGAAGGTGTCTTCGTTTGCACGTTACCTTGTCACACGCTCCCTGACACTTGACCATCTTTAACTTACACATGACGCCTAACGCCACATAAATGCTGTGTGCGTTGTCACCAGTCTGCATTGCTTAGGGAGTAATAGCAAGGAAAAACTTATGCCTGTTCAGTATAAAAACATGTACAAAAAAGGAACATCTAGTTCTACCTATTCAGCAGTTAAGAACAAACAAATGCATTTTCCATCTGAGGTTGGCCAAAGCCGCGGCTTCGCTGTGGAGCGGACTGTCGGGCGCCGCTGTGGGGCGGACAGCGCGGCCCCTCTCGGGTCCAAGGAGCCGGGGCCGAGCCCGAGCCCCACGCGGCCTCCCTGGGTTGCAGGTGGGGCCGCGGACCACGCACTCCCGGACGCACTGCCTCTGCAGCCACCTCACCTTCTTCGGAAGCACCTTCCTCGTGATGCCCAATGTGGTTGACGTCCGGCGGACGGCAGAGCTCTTCGCCACCTTTGAGGACAACCCCGTGGTGGTGAGCACCGTGGGCTGCCTGTGCGTGTTCTACGTGCTGGCGGTGATCTGGGCCCGGAGAAAGGACGTGCAGGACCGGGCCAAGGTGAGGCCGTGGGGCCCCGCCCGGAGAGGGAGCAGGGGCTGCGGGAGGGAGCCGGGTGGGCTGCTAGTCTGGGCCCTAACCTGGCACACTGGCTTCTCAGTCCCTTTTGGTCAGTTTTTATTTTTTTAATATATTTTTTGTCTTTTTGAGACAGCGTCTCACTATGCAGTTCAGGGTGGCCTTGAGCTCACTTTGTAGCCCAGGCTGGCTGCGAACACACAACGATCCTCCTGCCTCAGCCTCCCGAGTGCTGGGATTATAGGCGTGTGCCACCACGCCTGGCACAGTTTTTATTTTCTTATTAGTACGTGTTTGATGAACACATCAATCTTGGAGAGTGAGTACATGTACACAGCACTTCTTCATTCCTGTCCCCGGTGTTATCTTTCATTTTGCTCTTTATTTAGGTTTCTCGTAGAGGAGAGACCCTGTGATATTTAAGGCTGTGTCAGATTTATTTCATTTAACATGGTGTCGAGCAGCAACCGTTTTCCTACAAATGACTCAGCCCCTCAGCCTCTTTTCAGCAGATTCTCAGGACGGCTTTGCTTCTGGCCGTTTGTGGAGTGCCAACGCCTGTCAGGCCTGACCCCCGACGGATGCTCGTGGCAGCCCCTGCAGTAGGCACCCGTGTTGGGTCCAATGATCTGTCAGGATTCAGAACTCA